GGCTGCAGGTGGATTCCGAAGGCCCACCCTAGAACCAGCAGTCTGAGGTTCTCACCCAACAACAGGAAGAGTCCCATCCAGCTGCCTGTAGCAGCTGCAAGCTGCAATGAATGCCTGCCATAAACACCTGCATTTCCTTCAGCAGCAGCGCAGCCCCCACACAGACCAGGGTCTAATGAGCTTCTCCCCATTTGCCGATGGAGAATACTTACAATAAAGTTTAATATGGAAGAACAAGGTGCATATAACCAAAGCTGTAAACACCTCTAATTCTATTTAAAACCGTAGGGTGCAGTGCATTAACATCTAACAACCAGGCAGACACAGAATTGATGCGGAACTAATCGAGCTCTGTTTATTAGAAAGCAGGCACCAAGTCTTCTTTACCAACAGAAGGGGCAGAACTCAGCCACATCAGCCCTCATGCCCCACCTTGTTCATCCAGTGAGAGTCTTGTCCAAGTCATGGTGTAAAAAGATGCAGACTGCTTTGGGAAAGAAATGCTAGGTAAACCAGACATAGTTCCACATCAAATTTTCCCCTGGGTCAGCACATTTTAAAAATGAGAATCTGAGAATGTGCCAAGACACAACCTCTACCTGCTTTGTCTCTGAGTTCCCACCTCTGAGCCCCCTCTGAGAGGAGAAATCCAGAGCATCTTCTGGCTCTCCCACAACCCTCTGCTTGTTTACTCACCTCTGATCTCCTCCGGCCTCCTCACCTGCTCTGGACCTGTCATACCAGACACTTCTCACCATTCAGATCTGGCCACCTTGCTTCCTTGTTGGGTAGCATCTCCCTGAGGATTTTGCCCACTGTCCAGGCTCCAGCTTTGGCCTAATGCTCTGAGGACACCTCAGTCACCATGTAGCTGAGGATCCATAATTCTTTTTCCAACACTCAATGTCCTCGCTACTCAGTGTGGCCTTGGGGCCAGAAGTGGGACATTCTCTCTGAGAACTATTGAGAAACTCAGAGTCCTGGGTCCCATTCCAGACATCCCCAACCAAGATAGTCAGTTGTCTTAGTGTTTCTATTGCTGTGAAGAGACACCATGTCCACAGTAATGCTAGAATGGAAAACATTTAACTAGATGGCTTACATTTTCAGATGATTAGTCCATTATAATCATGGTGGGACATGGAGGCATGCAGGCAGATGTGGTGCTGGAGAAGGGGCTCAGAGTCCTACATCTTGATCCATAAGCAATATGAAGTAATCTGAGACACAGGGTGTGGCTTGAGCACAAAGGTCACTCATACTGTGCCATACTTCTTCCAACTAGGCCATATCTACTCCAACAAAGCCACACCTCCTAATAGTGCCACTCCCTACGGATTATGGGGGTCAATTACATTCAAACCATCACATCAGATTACCAAGGCCTCACATGATCTGTGCACTATATAGAAAGCATTAATCTGAGGCCCGACTCTGATGGGGAATGTTCTTCTGTATATATGTTTCTCTTACTGGTTAATGAATAAAACACTGATTGGCAGATTGGCCAAACAGGAAGTGACATAGCTGGGCAGAAACTTGCCACTAGCTAACCATAGAGGTCTGGAGGTCTGTATAGACAGACAGGGAGTAACATAGCTGGGCAGAATCAGGATATAAGCAGGGGAAAACAGGAAATAGCTCTTTTCTCTGCAGAGATGCTTAGCAGTCACCATGTGTGTCACCAAAGGATTTAGAGGTCCAGACCCTTCTCTGACAAGATAAGACCACATGGAAATACTTAGATTAATAGAAATGGGTTAATAATTAAGACAGAGCTAGCCAATAATAAGCCCAAACCATCAGCCAACAGTTTTATAACTAATATAGCATCTGTGTGTTTATTTGGGACTCAAGAGTGGCTGGACCTAGCTAGGACAAAGAACCTCATGTTGCACAACTCCCTGTACACAACATTATAAAAGAATCTCAATGAGACCACATTGAATGTAGGCCTTTCTCCCATGCTGTAAGTCCCTGTTTTGTTTTCAATGACAAGGAATAGCTTCTGCTGTGCACATGGGGGTTGGGGTATGGCTCTGAATGGGGTCATCATCTCTACCTTGCGGTTACCTAGCTTCACTAAAGGGCTGGCTCCAAGTGACAGAGCTAGCCACCTTTTCTAACCAGTGTCCTAACTCAAAAGGACTGGAAAGGCATCCTGTTAAGGGGAATCCATCTTAAAATTCAGAGCCAACACTAAAGGCAACCTCCCTCTCAGCATGGACGCTGATATGGCAACCCTACTCTAAACCTGAGGGTCCCTTCCTTAGGAAGTACAAGAGTGCTGAAATTCTCCATTGAGAAGGATGTGACTCAGGCAGTGGGAAACAGAGCAGTGAAGTTCACCGTTACAAGGACAGCCCACCTTCCACACCCACAGGCATTTCAATCACCTAAACACATTGAAACTATTTTTAAAAAATATTGGTGCTGAATATGTACACTCTTGTTCTCTGGTCATTATTCTCTAAATAATATTTTGTAGCATTTATATCATACTAGCAGCTATAGGTGATCTAGAAGTGACTTAACTATTCAGTGGATGTGAGTAGACTATATACAGATGTTATATTTTATATAAAGTGTGTATTTATATTTTATATGAGCACTGTATCTTTGGATGGCCACTGAGACCCTAGAGTCAATCCCAGAGAACAAAGGATGGCTGTACAGCCATTGGGTAAGCGGGCTCTTTGAGTAAGGGGATTTTTTTTTTTTTTTTTGATTTTCCTGTGCTGGAAAAAAATGACCCACATACCCTTTTAGAATTATCTCTGTTGCTATCTGTCTAGACATGGCAGAATGTAGATTTAAATGGTAGGATAATGAGACAGGTTGTGATTAAAAGTAGATCTGGAGAAAGAGATGAGTCTTGGGGGCCTGGACGGGATCGTGTGTTTATAGGACATTTTCACCTCTTTCCCTCTCATCTCCCAGAGGCCTCAGTGTCTTTCTCCTAGGACTGGCTGGCTGAGATGAGCATATGAGTCCTTGGACCATATTTGTGGGCTGAGCACAAGCCCCACTCTTGGTCCATTGAAGATAGTGATGAAGATCAGAGTGATAAAAATGATCATGAATAACCTCTAAAAGTCAGCCTTTGGCCAACCCACATAATTATGCATAAAAAACTATGATGTGTCCTGGGTTGTCACATCTATGAAGAGGTGGCTTTTGTTCCCTGAACACTGAGGGAATTTAGTGCCATAGAGAGGAAGGGACCCTAACAGGATCTCAGTCCTCCCTATGCCAGGGCTGGCTCAGCTCAGGGTTTTGACTGCAACACATCTTCATGCCAGCTTCATCCTGTTTCCCTCCCACGATGTCTAAAAAGATTCCTCACCATCTGTGGCGTAGGCCAAAATTCGTCCCTGAACCCGAGCCTACTTGCATCCCATCCCTGAGAAGCCATTATTCCAAACAATGTCTCCACGCTTGCTTCAATTGATCTGAACATGGAAGCAACTGTCCGTTTTGGGAAATCACTCAACGATTACATCATTGCTCCTATTGATGCCTTACAGCAAGAAGGAGTCTTTGCACTTTCCAGTTGTTGATTGTTTCCCCTCACTTAACTTCAGAAATGTCAATTCACGGTGAGTGGTCTATTTGGTAGAGAATGGGCGACTAGACACATTTTCTAAGCAAGAATGCCAAAATCCATCACTTCTAGTAAGCACGGGTACAAATCACTCCTCATCGATGCTCTGAGAGTGCGTGTGTGGCTTGTGTGGTTTTCTTTTGGAGATGGCAGAGAGTCAAGTGCTGTAGGGGTGGATGCTGTGAGGCTCCTGCCCCCGCTAAAGGAAATGTTCAGTCAGCCCCCCCACCAACTTGGTGCAGCTGTGACCAGAACTGGAGAGAAAAAAGCTAAAGTAAATCTGTTACAGTCACAGCTTCTGGATGTTTCTAAAAAAGCATGTGCTTTTCTTAGTGGAACGTGTTCATGTGCATGTATGATGGCCCTAAGCTTTCCTTGTATTCAGAAAAGGATGAGCTTGGGGGCTTACAGGTCTCAGAAAATATTGCCTCCTGTCACCTCTTCGTTTGCCTCACTCTCTACTCCCAATTGCCACCTCAGTATCCCTGTTTGCCTATATGGCTCTGTGTGCAAATTAGAAAATCATTTTGTGTCCTCAAAAGACTATATATCCACCTGCTAGAACCCTGTCGTGACAAAATGCAATTTTGGGATCATGGCAATCATGGGATCGGTGATGTGAGTTGTGGTTTTCCTCTTCTAAAGCAGATGCACTAGAAAATTCTGGTACATTATTCTAAATGGTCTTCCTCCTTCAAAAGTCATGCTTTAAGCACGAAGAGGGCATACAAATGTAGGCGTCATTAGGAAGGATCAACTTCCACACCAGTGTTTGCAGGGAACCAATAGCTGCTCCATTTAGATCCCTCTCTCCACTAAACCCAAGAAATACTCACAAGGAAACTTGGGTCTGTGGGAATGGTATAGCTCTTTTCTTTTTTTTCTTTTCTTTGTTTTTAAAGATAGGGTTTCTCTGTGTATCCCTAGCTGTCCTGGAACTAGCTCTTGTAGACTAGGCTGGCCTCAAACTCACAGAGATCCCCCTGCCTCTGTCTCTAAGTGCTGGGCTTAAAAGGATGAGCCATCACTGCCTGGCAAAACGTTACAGCTTTAAGACTTCAGGTAAAAGTTTAAAAGCTGCTACAGGCCTAGAAATTCAGCTTAGAGGTAGAGGGCCCGTTAGATCATGGGCAAAGCCCAAACACTGCAAACAAAAGTTTGGTTGCTTTGTTTGTTTTAGAAATGCACAGTGGCTTTAGCATGGCTGTCAGGACAGATCATTTGTGTACTGGCTTATAGTCTGCAGAATCTCACAATGCTCATTGTCCCATTTAACCTTCCAGAATCCTAGGAAGGGTTAAATTCTTTTTAAATGTATAGAAAGTCTGAGGTGATTAGGGGTAAGAAACTCACGTGAGTTCCACGGTGATATAAAGGGCACAACTCACAGCCCAGCTGTGTTTAAAATAGATAATTTATCATATATACATGGTAAATTACATAGCCAAACAACGCTTATAGACTGTAGTAAATGGCCACTAGAGTACACATACATCAAGAAATATCCTGAACAGCACTCTGGATATCAAGATGACTTTCCCAGATTGGATCTACTTCAAATCAAGTCCGACATTTCTGTACATTGTTTAGGTCCACAGAGAAACTTCCCCATGGACTTATGCCCCAAGGTCCCTGACATCCACACAAGACCATCACAGTTCACATCCAAACCTGAGATGGACAAAGCACTTGCCAAGAGTTGAGTCTTCCCCAAGCAGAGTTTTCCAACATGGCTTATACTTGTACGTCTATGTAGAGGGGACAATGAGAGGGTCTGTTCTCCCCCTGCCTCCCACCCCCAAGTGGGAGCTGGCACACTTTACCTACTTATGTGATGTACCCACTGGTATCACACTCGAGTCTTTGGGAAAGAGTGAACAGTATATTTTCCTGTCACTCCAGGTCCATTCTGCCAAAGGGGACAAGCACTTTCCAATGGTGTCCTTGTGGACCAACAGTCTCAGTGAAGTATGTGTCTAAAGAGGAGTACCAGAACTTCCCAAGACCTCAGACTTTAACCTCTGCCCTTACATGGCCAGCTTCAGAGCATCTATTCAAAACAATGGATGCCATCATAAGAGGCTACTTGCCGTCACCCTCAGGGGCTTGCTGTGCTCTGCATGTCCCAGCAATGACATTCAAGCCTCAGAACCAGAGAGTCTATATAGGCCACCTCTCTCTGTGACATCTATAGGCATTTCCTGTGGCTTTAAAGTGGGTGCTTGGGGTCTCAGACATAGTGAGGGTGGCAGACTAAATTAAGATTTAGTTTGATTTTCAGCAAATTAAGACTCAGGAAAAGAGAAGAAGGTGATAAGGATTGGCTCAGCAGATGCTCTTGGGGGCAGAGTCCTTGTACCTCAGAGTTGGGTCAGGGACCTCTTGCCTGAGGAGACATGGCCAAAGGCTGCGTCCTCTCTTTCCTGGGAGGCATGTACCTCTTAGGAGACATGAGAATACCATGGGAAGGGGCTCCCCATTACACTGGAGGCACAAGTGAAAATACAAAAATAGGGCCTTTCTTTCTGAGCATCATAAATACGTGGGAGCATGGGAGACAGAGGAAAGGTGTCCCTACAGCTGGTTCTCCTCGAAGAGAATCTGTGCGTACACTGTGCTGCTGGGGGCACCTTTGGCAGTGCGGGGTGGTTTGATCAGCTCCAGCTCGGCATAGGTCAAGTTTTCCTCAGCGATCTTTGGCTGTATAGAAAAACAAAAGCAAATTTCAGGTCAGGCTCACCACCTGCCAGGTATTCATTTACCAAGTACATGTCCTCACAGTATTTATAGGGGCATAAGGGAAACATGTAGGCAAAAACAAAGAAAGAAAGAAACAAAGAAATGCATAGGCATAACCAAGTAATACAAAGAGATACAGTTCATTGCCCCATGTAGAACACCATGCTCTGCTCAGAGACACTGCCATCTTTTAAGTTGGTATCAAGTACTCCCAAAAGCCATTGAATTCTAGCTCACAGATAATACCTAATTCTGAAAAGCAAAGCAGAGTACTAACACTGACCAAAAGAAATAAGCCTTTGGCAATTAATAACAAACAGAAAATTTTGTGAATGATGTAATTACTTCACTAAAACTTCAGAGTATCTGGAAAATAGTAATGAAGGAAGTATTGCTTGCTACATGCTAGAGTATAGAGGAACAGTGGTCATGGACCATTAAGTGATTCATTATTTAATAACATGATGAGGGTCAAACATCAAATTCAGGAAGTTAGGAGATGAAAAAAATAAGCAAAAGAAACATAATAATAATAAGCACAAAAAACCAGAGAATAGCAAAAACCAGAAGACAAACCAAAATATTTAAAATCAAGTGCTGGGAAAGTACCAGTAATGTGCATATTGGTGGAAAAATGATTACTATAAAGAGAAAAAAATGTAAGGAAGCATGAATGAATAAAACAGGAAACAAGAAAGGTAACAGAATATAAATGAAGGAAATTTTACCCTGTTAGAAGATTGCTTGGCTTAACATACTAAAGATGGAAGCTGAAACACGGGGTAAAATGATAATGTCCCAGAAAAATATAAATGATAAATGCTAAGTGTAGGCAGTCTGAGTTTGCTAAATTCAGAGGGCCAGAAAGGAAGGGTTCCCTCCTGACGGCACTGGGAGAGCTGTTGGCAGAGCATTTCTGAAGGAAGCTCCTACGCAGGTCAAACCGTTTCATGTCATTACACTGATCAGAGGACAAGAAGGAAGCAAACCATGATGGTGTTAGAACAAACTCTGTGTTCATACACATTTTAATTCAGATTTATTCGCGAGGGTGAAGAGACACATCAATGATAGGTAATCATAGTCAGGTTGATTGTATTTTTGAACTCAAACATGGTTCAGCATTTTAAAATGATTTACACTAGTAAAAGATCAAAAGAAAAACCTCATCATTATCTCTATAGATGCTGGAAAGCCATTCAATAACATTTAAAAACCACTGTTGACAAAAATCAATCTCTGAAAGACATACACGATACAGCTGCACGATTTCTTAATATGATTAGGAGATGTTAAGATAATAAACAATTGGCAATCCAAGTCTGGTGGTATTAAAAACTATACAACTGAACTAATTTACATATGGTAATGTTGGCAGATGAATAGACATCTGTAGTGGGATAGTCACTGTCTCCTTCTGTGGCACTGACCACGCCCATTGGGGGTGGAGCCAGGGATGGAAGTGACCTGGGTTACTAGGTCTGAAGAGGGTGGGGGAAACTGCTTCTCTTGCAAGCAGCACGGGGACAGGAGAACTTCCGGAGGCATTCTTGGAAGCAGGAACCTGCTGGTGTTCACCTGTTTACATTGTGAGTTATTTCTCCCTGAATAAACATCTGTTCGGCCTAATTGTTTATCCTGATTCTTAGTAAACGGCGATATCTGGTGTCAGAAGTGGGATCGGGATTTTCACCCAGGCTGCAGAAGCCTCTCCCTCCCCTCCCCTCCTCCCTGGCCCCACCCCAATGGGCGTGGTCAGTGCCACAGAAGGAGACAAAGTGAATAAATATCCCACTACAGACATCCTTATCACTGGAACTGGCTAGAGACTCCAGAAGCTAACTGAGGTCATCTTTCAATAAATGCTATTGGAATATTTGGGAGAAAAATTAAATAAACCACACCTCAAATCACTCCAAATAAGTTTAAAATATGTAAACTACTAAAACTATTAGAAGAACATATACAGAACTTTTAGGAAAACCAGCTTAGGAGTAAGACAACTTTACAAATGGGGCGTTGTCTTTCTGTAGATGGCAAAATATTCTCTAGAGTCAAAAACAATAATAATAATAATAAAAAAAGAACAAGATGTGTGTAGCTCATATCTAAGGGGCTTCGTTTAACAGAGATCCACTAACAACCCACAAGGAAACAAAGCAGGGGTGGCAAAGACCTATGGCTCCCAGGAAAGGACTGACAACAGCTTTTACACAAATGAAGACAGACAGACAACCTTGCTCACCCACAGAGATGGATAGTTTTGCTTGCTTTTAGTTTTTGTTGTTGTTGTTGGGTTTTTTTTTTTTTTTTTTTTTTTGACATCTTCATACAATGTTGCAATGTGTTTTTATCACATTCACTCCTCCTCAGCGCCTCCCAGGTGCCCCTCCTCCCTACCCATCCACCTTTGTGTATGTGTGTGGTTTCCACCCAGTCCAATGTGTGCTGCACATATATTCTTGGATGTGTGGCCTTTCGCTGAAGCATGGTCAAACTATAAGTGGCAATGTTCTTGAAGAAAACTGACTGTCCCTCTCCCAGCTGCTGCCAGTTGCCAATGGCTCCTCCGCTAGGGGTGAGACTTAATGTTCACTTCTTCTCTTCATGCTTGGATTTGGTCTGGCTTGAATGGGGCTTGTGCATGCTGACACAATCACTATTATTGGAAGTCACAATTTTAAATCACACTTACGTGTGACTTTTTCTCTTTATGCTTCCAATGCTTTTATGCTTTTAAGTTGCCCAAACTAATATACAATGGAGTACTCTTTAACAACTATGGAGCTTGGGTTGGGGCTATAACTCTGCTGTATGCTGTTTGCCAAGTGTGTGCAAGGCCTGAGATTTGACCCTCAGTATCACAAATATCACTCAAAACTTATGGAGGTTTACATGGTCTGTATTCAGTGTTGTTTATGAAAATATTTGTGCATACATGCATATTGGCAAACGTCTGCACATGTTACCCTTGGAAATTAGCAACTGGAGAATCCAATAGCCATGGCTTCAAGGGGTGGAAACTGGGTGGTTGGGAAGACTCATTCTTTATTTTGTATTCTTTCCTTAGTACCTTTTAGATGTTACAGTAGGCAATCTATTTACCCAATGCACTGATTAATTTATATTTGTAATTAGATAAGTAAAAGTGACCACAAATTTAGAGTCATATTAACATTCTCATTTCGGCAACTCTGTGCTTCTAATTCACATATAAGACTTGAAGTTTAGGTTTTCAGTTTTTGTTTTGTTGTTGTTTTGAATCACATTCTTTAAAAACAAACAAAAACTATATGCCTCTATCTTTTTATCTTAGGGAAGTCCAGGACAAAGAAACTGTCGAATCAAATGTAAGCTTCTCAAATGGAATGTCAAAGCAGAGAGTTTTGTTCTTTTGAGACAAATGCTGAGATGATTGGAAACAAGGGGCCAAACGGGTAGACAAAGGACTTAATGCCAGCACAGCCGGCCTAGGCAACTTCCAAGGATGTGCACAAGGGTCTAGCCAGTTTTCAAGTTCAATGTTAAGCACATTTGTAGAGATGGAGTCTCTGTTTGCCTTTGAACACCAAAAGTCTTTACATTGCTTCTTAGTCGTCCACATCTTACTGGCCAACAAAGCCCCATGTACACGCTCGCCTTTAGCTTTAATTACATTTCACATTGTAATGATTCCATTTAGGAACACCACGTGTCTTCCAATAAGTACTCAAAACCCAACTCATGTAAATTTTAGAACCCAGGTTTATGAAATCATATTGTCCAGTTGTTTTATTGCATTACTTTGAAACTGTATTGTTTTCTAGCGTAGATTATCTGCTTATTCTTAAGTTATTTCATTATGCTTGGATATGAAAAATAACACCAGCTTTCTCAATACAGGTCACCAGGCTGGCTTGGCTGATCTGTTGTTTTCATACATTTTTATGATGTTCCTATAGTAAGCATAATTTAATAAAGCCAAAGCACACTAAATAAATAATTGCATCTAGAAAAGCAATAAAAACAAATAAAATTAGTACTTTCATAAGTGGAAAAGGTACTTCAATTACTGCTACAAGCAGCAACCTACCATAAAAATGTGTACAATCATTTCCCTTATGCATATTTCTGGAGTGTAATAATTTGATTGAAGATATGAGGCAGCACACGGGAGGCTCAGGGGTGTGAAGTGTATACAGTTTACAACAGAAGATGCATAATATCAGTGCTTGGCACCTTTAAAGAACCTATTGTTTTTCTGGCAGGCACAGTTGGCTGGCACCATCAAACATGTGCTTAACTACACTCCCCAGCTTGATCAACTGGAAATAGAGTCCTAGCAGCCAAGGAACATGAGCAACTGTGTCTTTCCCGCTGGTTTTCACCAACCCGCCTTTGTTTACATCGATGCCTCAGTAGAGCTTAGCACTATGTAAAAAATAGCTTAGAGATGGTTTCTGCCTTCTCAGGAAGACTAGGTAAGAAAGACCAGAGTACATAGTAAAGCCAGGAGCCAGGAACAGAGTGTGATGTCACCATCCCAGGTGGCAAGAACTTGCCATGGGACAGAACCAGGCGAGGGACCTGTGGCAAGGCCTCGAGTGCTATAGTTCAGGTACTCTCATTGGCTAGACAAACCCAACTGAGCTCAGTTAAGACACCATTCCCAGTGTCTACAGCAATTCCAGGCTTAGACAGAAGTCCTGAGGATGGACCAGGAGGCACTCTGAGTTCTCTACAGGCCACCAGTTCTCAAAACAGCACTCTTCAGGCCTGTGTGTGATACTCTGGATGCTGGACGATGGGATCACAGTTAGTCTTCTGTATCTGTGAGTCCTGCAAACAACTGTGGGTTGGAAATGTCTGGAGGAAAAGCTGCATCTGTCCTAAGCATGTGAACTTTCTTCCCACCGTTCCCTAAAACAATACAACACGTTGACTATTTATACAGCATTTGCATTATATTTAGTATGGTAAGC